AAAATAAGTCTTTGGATCATATAACCATTTTTTTTCAAGTACCTTCATTATGTCAACTCCCCCACGCTTCCATCACTTACACTGGATCCAAACAGAGCTGTACTGTGTCATTGCGACAGTTGTTTCGTTTCAAACGACTCGCACTGTAAGCTTGTGTCAGCACGAACAGAACGTCGCCATCATCACGACCATGGAATAGCCAAGTGTATGTTGTCGTATATATATTGCTGTATATGTTGTTGTGTATATATTGTTGTATGGTTACTAATACATAAATGGCCATCCTTCTAGTTTCTGCATGGCGCGAAGGTCGTTCAAACCTCCAGCTACTCTATTTGGATTAGCCAAGCACCAGCGAAAGTTGTAAGTTGCCATTTGTCTTCAGAGTGGGAACGTCTTCGGTTGTTCGGTGCTAGTATCGACGATCAGACCATTAACGTTATTGCCATTTGACCTATTAGCCACACCAATGGAGCTCGATTCAAGCTTGAGTGAGACCAGCGGCCAAGCTACAAGCACGATTGACTTGCTGCAACTGCCACCATCAGTTTCGACATTCGACATTACTATTGAGGGAGAAGAGGACGAAAACACCGATGGTAAATTTATGTTCTCGTATAAACTAAAGATAGTAGCACGAAATTCAAATTATTAGTATCTCATACACTATGTTCTACACAGATATTACACGACCATCTGACTTCATTATCATGTTTTACCTTTTCCTGGCCTTATTCCAAGATCGCTATTTAAGCAGGGCTGGTGGTGAGCTGCTCCTCCATTTTCTATCTGTCGTTTTTGCGGGTCTCTACATTCCAATTAGTATCCCACGGTCAATGGCTACTGTACGCCGCTTATCTGGTCTTAACGAGCTCTTGGATTGCGGTCAAGCAATCGTTATATGCCCCAGCTGCCACTGCCTCTATCCCAATGAACATATACCTACCGACTTGAAATGCTCGTTCCAGAAGTTCCCACACCATCTAATGATAGCACACCGAGCCCTATGCGGCATGAACTTGTTTCATTTGAGAAACAGAAACCTTGTACCTCCCAAAGTGTATGCGTATCATCCTGTGTCAGCAAGCCTTGCAATTATGATGCATAGACCAGGATTCGGCGAAAAACTCCAGCACTGGAGGAAGAGTATCAATCCATAACAATTAATTTTACTGTAAACAGTAAATTAATTTAAGTTAAGGATTTCACTGTCAAGCTAAGCTGCGTCCAAGTATTCCTTGCTTAGAGGAGGGGATGCTCACTACCGTTCCACCACTATAAGTTTCAAATTAAACATTAAAGGATATATGGTGCAAGCACCTTATAATCCGCAAATTTTTGGGTAATCTTTGAATCCCTACTACTTTTTAATGTCACCTTAAAATAAAAAAAGAAGCGCCTACTTATGTTTTTTAGACCTTTAATAACAATATTTGTGGATTAGATTTGAGTTCTTGCTTCTTTAAAAAAAGTTATAGGCTTCTGAAGTTGGTCACTTTTGGCTGAGGGATAGCAAATTGAAACATATAGGATTATACTTAAGCAAGCGGAAATCAAGTTTAGCCTTATGGGTAAAATATTTAAGCGGTCCAAAGCCACTTACGACTGGCTACTAACTTAGGTTCATGTTTGCTTTGCCTTCTCATGCATATTCCACACAATTTATCCACTATACCTCGTCCTAAAGATCAAAAGAAAGCTGCTAAAAAGCACAATTGAACAGAAATCGGTAACTTCGTCACTATAATGGAGCAATTGCAGCTGCATATGAGGAATGTGCGACAACTCCTCTGCTGGCCTTCAGAAACACCTTCCTATTGCTTTAGACTAAGCTTTTCCCCCAATAACCCCATAAAGATTCATAGATATTACAAAAGATGGTTTTATTATATAGAAGCATATAAGTAAAGGGAGAGGATGCCTGGGCAGAAGATGAAGAAGTGAGGATATTCATAACCAAAATTGCAAGCTCCCATCAGAAAGTAGGCATTGATGATTAAAAACTACCATATATAGAAGCGGAATCTGAAAACTCGAAATTGAAACAAATGTCAAAATGTGGATTATAAGGTGTGTGCACCATATAACTTTAAAAGATTTAAAATAGTTTATACAAAACATAAAACTTTTAAAGAATTAAAAAAAAAAGTTAAAAAAAAGTTAAAAGTTTCAAAAATAAAAAAATTATAATCTAATTTTTTATTTTTTCATATATATCTTTAAACAATGATTTACCTTTAATCAATAAAACCTTTTAAAGAATTACAATTAAGGATTAACCCTAGAAGCGAACCCCACGACCAAATTCTTTGGATGATGTATACGATGGTCGCAAATGGTGGTCGATAATGGCGCCAGAATCCGCGGCAGAAAACCCTGTATCATTCGTTGAATGTGTCGGAAATCAACACTCACTTATGTTGACGCTCAATGTCGATTGGTTCCAGTCATTCGATAAGCAGACTTCATATTCTGTCGGTGCCCTGTATATGACAATCAATAACCTACCAAGATCTGAATGATTCAAGTCATCAAATGTCATATTAGTCAGTATAGCACCAGGACCCCACGAAAGCTCCAAAGGTACCATTTCGATTATACTGTTGCTTATCTTTTTGCTCGTTGATTCTGGAGTCTCGCATGTATGATTCTGATTCCCTTTCCTTTTTATACTGATAGAGCAAATCAATAATTTCCTGCGTCCAATGGTCGACGATCTGTTACATTTATATCATGGCAAAGATATGGTTATTGATGACGGCTCCTTGGTCAAAGTGCGAGTAGCTCTATTGTTCGTAGCATCGGACATACCAGCTTCAAGAAAGGTTTCTGGCTTTGCAGGTCCAAACTCATTCTACGGATGTAACCATTGCGACATTTCCTGGCCATCGCAAGCAGAGAATCCAAGGCTGCACGATTACTCCAACTTTGACTTTCCTTGGAGATTACAGACAAAGGCAAAGAACTTGGCAGACGCAAAAGCTTGGAAGGCAGCAAAAACGGCTACCGAAAGGGACATAGTTGGAGAAGTCAAATGGAACATGCTGGTCTGAGTTGCATCATCTTCCATACTTTGATCCTGTTTTGCAGACAATAGTCGACTATATGCACAACATGTTCTGCGGGACAGCCGAGCGCATGGCCACCATATGGAAAAATGACAAAACCTTGACCAAGGAGCATTTGACTGATATGGAGAGTTGCCTTGAAAAGATGGTGGTGCCCCCATCATACAGCATCGCTCGCGGCTGTATTGTGACTGGATTTACTGGAATGACGTTGGATGAATGGAGGTCGTGGACTGTTGCACTCTCGCCGTCGTTGTTGAAGGGAAGATTGCTTGGAGAAAAGATGACACACTGGTTGCTCTTTGTCGTGGCAGCACGTCTCCTCTGTAAGCCATCCATCACCATCGCCGAAAACGAGGAAGCCCACCAACTGCTGCTCAAATTTGGCCGCGACTTTTCAAGATTGTACTCTAGAGATCAAGTCACGCCAAATATGCACTTGCATATTCACCTTCGCGACATAGTACTCAATTTTGGCAGCTGCTATAACATGTGGGTATTCAGCTTTGAGCGGTTCAACAAGATCATCAAGAACCAGCACACCAACCAAAAAGACCGTTTCGAGCTTACGTACATGAAGAAGTTCTTGAGTGTCGTGTTTGCTGATGATATGGTCCGATGAGTCGTGGTCGAGCGGTGCGGCAACAGCACGATTGCCAGACAGATTGCTGAGCTGTTGCTGCCACAATCAGAAGCCATGCAAGAGCATTACGATTGTCAGCCGTTTTTAGATCGATCGGATTTCGACTATGCTGCGGGAGTAAGCATAGTTGGTTGGGAGCTGCTGCCACCATCATGTCTTCCCCTCAAGACGGGCAAAAGGTGTACATAGATACACGCCACTACTACTGTCTTGTCGAGTATTACCAATCGATGTTTCCAGACATGAATTTTGTGTCACTCGCCAGCACTAGTGGTAATCAGGTCAGCGATCACCTCTACAAATTTGCAAAAGTCGATCTCCTGGGCCAAACATTCATTTCCGAAATGTCTCGCCACATCAATACCAGCACCTATGTCCGAGTCGTTTGCCCAAGTACTCAGTTTCATACTGAAGCGATCGTTTGTCCTGGGTGTATTTTATATTTCTTTGTCCACAACCTGCGCAATCCCACCGACGGTAATTTCTGCTAGTTCGTTTTTGCTTTTGTTGAGTACCTACGACCAAATACGCAAGTCTTTGAGTCGTTTAGGATGCTAGACATGGACGTCTACCATTTAGAAATCGAACCGTATACGTGGCAGTGTGTTGTTCCTTTGGGGAGGCTCCATTCCGGCGTTGTTGTTACCCCTATTCAAATAGACAATAGCTGTGCTCTTACATAATTACCACATAAAATAAAAGTAATCTACTCTTAAAAGCAAAATACCTCAGGTCAGGTCTTTTTCTTTTCTGGCTTCGTGCTGCTGTAGTTGTAACAAAGAATAAAATAAAAAACAAGTTTTGAATTATAGAAATCGCTTCAGATTTAAAAAGCATTTTGAAGGAATCTAATGCAATGGCGAATCAAGAAACTTGTAGATGGTCAAATAAATAAAAATGTTGAAGAATTTGATTTAGTAATTGGCAAAAAAAAATAAATAAAAAAGGAGAAAAAAGCAAAGTGGTGGAGATAAGCATAGTGGCAGTAAAAGTCTCAGAGTGGGAAGAAGCACAGCAGTCCAGGTGGTGTAAAAAAGGGGTCATCCCAGATGGTTTTGGGGGAGAAGGATTTTAGTGGGGGAGCCAATTTTAATTTATTTGCTGCATCACAGCTCTGAAAGCGCTCTGAAAGCGCTCTGAAAGTAAATTCTCACTGAAAGCACACTGAAAGCACATTGAAAGAAAAACAGAGTACACTGAAAGCACTCTGAAATCGGGTTTTAACTCCAGTGCCCTTTCTTATAATTGTGCGGTATAGCAGCAATGCAATGGCTGAAGTATATTAGTATGTTGCCTTGGTCGAGTGGACTAAGGCGCCTTCATAATCCAGTTGAGGCTTGGGAAGGCGCAGGTTCGATTCCTGCAGCTGCTATTTTTTTTTAGCAAGCAATATTTAGTTTTATTGTGCCGAAGTCTTTTTGGCAGATCAATACCGTAGCCAATAGAAGAGAGATAACAAAAGAATAAAGAAGAATAAGAGATGACTTGAAAGATGATCTTTATTATTTGATGATGGAGGGGATATTTATATGTTTCCTAAGACTATTGTGTAATGATAACTCTAATGAGATGACTATGTGTTGTGTTGATGAATGGATACGTGTTCAAAGGATAAAGAACTACGTGTTTTGCCAAATGTGCATTAACGACAATGGACTACGTGTTCGAATAATGGTAAGGTGGGACAAAAAGGGAAAAGGTAAGACCGATCAATTCTGGCTACAACAATATCCCCTCCCCAAACTATTGGTCGTCCTCGAACAACAAAGCAATCTGACCAGCAGCATCGAGATAACGGCGTTGAGTGGCGCGAGTTGTGGTGGGATCATACCAAGGATCAGTAGATACCTTTGAAGTAATATGGATTGGACGGAGGCGATCAGTGTGAACCCAAGAAGAATAAGCTTGCCCTTGTAAATCTTTGAGCTTGTAAACATCGGTATCTGGGTTGACAGCAATGACCTTGTAAGGACCCTTCCTATTAAACTCAAGGCTGAGCTTATTTTTGTGGCGCATCAAAACGTGGTCACCAACAGAAAATTTCTGAGGTTTCATGATGGCGTCCCAACGGGCCTTGTCCTTCACAGCATTTTCCTTAAGTCGGCTTTCAGCAAGCAATCGTGCTTCACGCAAACAGCGAACTTCTGGGACACGACCAGAGACGGCAAGGGAGTCGTCGTGCTCCGAATCAGGCAGCAACAAAAAGGGACGCAAGTGGTCACCCGGTAGTCTTGGTTCAACACTGTATGTCAAGAAGTAAGGGGAAAAACCAGAAGTACAGTGTTTGCAGACACGGCAGGCAAAAACGGCAGGTTGCACAAATTGATCCCACTGATGGATCCTGCCTTGAGTATACTTGCGCTACATTTGCTTGAGGATCCCGTTGGTTCGCTCAACCTTGGAATTTGTGCGAGGGTGGAATGCTGAAGTGAAAATATGTGTGACCTTAAGGCGACCCAGGTAGTGAGTGAGGACCTTGGATATAAAATTGGTGCCGCGATCTGTTAAGATTTCTACCGGACACGTGTCCGTTCTACTGCCCCCTAAACCCGAATACCTTTAACGTAGCTACTAATACCATTGGTGGATGGCTTTCTTTTGCCAAACTTCGATTCGTCGATCTCTACAATAATTCCTGGGCCACTAATTGGTTCACCTATATTATTATTAGTTATAAAATACAATAATCAAAGTAGAAAGAGAAATATATATCTTCTATTAAATAGAGCATGGTCCTTACGATTTCAATCCCAGCTAAAATCCAGATTTGGAAATAGCAACATGTTTTTTGTTTGTGTTTTTCCATTGTCAGGAACGTGTGCATATTCCGTTGTTGTCTTTCAAAACAATTATTACTGTGCTTTCAAGTATTCAATAGTACAATGAGTTCGCAAGAGGTGTGTTACTTGACTTAATCAACCGCCAACAATATTTGAGGCATTTTCTTGAAATTCGTTGCAAAAAGCTTAAATCACTATGATAACTAATTTTTTTTGTTGGGGTGTTGAAGCAATCTACTACTCATCAAAACTGTAACTGTGGTTCAAATGTCGACAATGGACCATGCCCAGCTCATTCTCGCAATGTTCGTCGTAGAATAGGCAATGTATGTTTTGCGAGTCTATATATATTTATATTTGTATTACTGCAGTCTGTTTACTTTGAGAAATCGGTATGTAGATTGTTTTTGAAGACCCCACCGCTCCTGCTACTTCGAGAACTTGCGTCTGTGGCTCGACCACCCACCAAAGACGTTCCTCTAGGCTTTGCCCTCTTAACCCTCGCAACCAAGGTATTTACCTGAATTGATCAGTTTGGTATAATAATATTTTTGCTGATAGAACTACAGTTGCTGTACTTCCTACTTCTCCTTCTCCACCAGCTGCCACCGTTGTTGCCGTCAATGCTCAACCATCCACTCCTCCTCTACCAGCACCACCTACCACTATCAACGCTCAGCCGCCTCCTGTCGTGGCTACCAACTCTCCGTCTCCTCCACCTACACCTGCCGCCAATCCTCCTCCAGCAACGCCTGCTGCTGTTACTGCCACCCCACCAGTTACGCGTTGCTCCAGTTGCTGGGCACCAACGCACACGCGCCGCACCCACCGCCTCTGTCCATTTAACCCAAGCAATGTCGAGCATGAGCATGGGGCGCAATACCGCATTGCGCGTGTAGTCCCCTTCGATCCAGAAGACGTTTTTGGGCCAAACGTATGCTATACTGCCGGCGACTCCTTCCATCGTCATGTGTTGCCACGTATGGATACTGTTTGTCCGTATTGTGGTGCACTAATGTGGTTGGATGAAAAGCTCACGATATCATCCATACGCAATCCTCGCTTTGGTCTCTGCTGCCTTTCCGGAAAGATCCAGCTGCCAATTCCTCGCGCTCCTCCTGTTCCTCTCCGTGACCTCCTAACGAATCGTAACAGTAATGATCCCGTTAGTGTCAACTTCCATACCAACATCAGGGCATATAACAGTATGTTTGCATTTGCATCCATTCTTGGTGGCAACGTCGATCCTGTCTTAGCAAGTGGTGCAGGCGGCGTACCCACTTACCGTATCAATGGTACATTGTATCATGCTGTTGGTGCGCTAAGACCTGATAACCAGGCGCAAGCGAACTATTCGCAGATCTATTTCGCAGATACACAGGAGCAATTGGCAAGACGTACGACTTTGTATTCTGGGCTCCTCCGCGAGACGATCGAAATGCTGCAAGGTGTAATGGAGACGCACAATCCTTTGGCGCGCACATTCGTTTCTGCTGTCGAAACCCACGGTGATCAGCCACTTGGAACACTTCAGGCTGTAATTCGTCAAAGCGACTTGGGCCGTCGCTACGATCAACAGGGTTACCCTGAAGTAGCAGCAATGGTGGTAGAACGTACTGTGGATGGCACTGCACGGGAGCATGACTTCGTCATTCACGATCGTGCAGAAGGTCTTCGTCGTATCAGCTCCTTGCACGCATCGTATATGCCGCTCCATTACGTCCTGATGTTCCCATTTGGCGATAATGGATGGTTCCAAGGTTTGACTTGCGAGTCGGTGTCGCACGACACGATCCAAGTAACGCTGCGTGAGCACTGCACGTACTTGCTCATGATCCGTAATGGCGACCGCGAATCGTTCCTGCACTACTATGGGCGTCTCTTCCAGCAGATGGTGGTTGACAACTACGCACGTATCGAATTTTCCCGCCTTAACTTCATCCTCACCCACCAACGAACGATACGTGCTGAGTTGTATAGTGGTGTTGGTGATAACGTCGATCCCAGGCAAATTGGTCGTGCAGTCATTTTGCCAGCGTCGTTTACAGGTGGCCCTCGCTACATGAAGCAGATGCTACAGGATGGGTTAGCAATCGTTCGCCAGCGGGGTAACCCAACGCTTTTCGTTACGTTTACTTGCAATCCAAGATGGCCTGAAATCGTTGCGGAGCTTCTTCCTAGCCAGCAAGCATACGACCGACCAGATATTGCAACTCGGGTGTTTCACCTCAAACTCACCCAGTTGCTCAAGGATATCAAGGAGTCGAAATGCTTTGGTCAAGTCGCTGGATACTTGGCAACTGTCGAGTTCCAGAAGCGTGGTTTGCCGCACGTCCATATCCTGGTCATTTTGGAGCAAGAAGACCGTCCACGCAACCCCACCGACTACGACCAATTTGTATCTGCTGAGTTGCCGAATTCCGTCACACAACCACAGTTGTATCGCACGGTGACAGCGTGCATGATACACGGCCCATGTGGTCCAGGCACCAATGCTGTGTGCATGAAGGATAACCGGTGCTCACAAGGCTATCCAAAACCATTTACCAACGAGACACGCGTCAACCGAGATGGATATCCCATCTACCGACGCCGTGAAAATCAACAAAACCGCCACCTCTTCCCTACTTCCAACTTTCTCGCCGACAACCGACATGTTGTGCCGTACAACCCCTACCTTAGCCACAAGTACGATGCACACATTAACGTTGAAATTTGCACATCCAACCGCGCCATCAAGTATTTGTGCAAATACATCACCAAGGGCACCGACCGAGCACAAATACAAACCACCGCAACCGCCACCACAACCACCACCAATACCGATAATGCCGCTGCCGAGCCGGTCAATGAAGTAGAGCAGTTTCAAAACGCTCGATACATTGGTCCGTGCGAGGCTATCCATCGTACGTTCGAGTTTGATGTGCATATGCACTATCCAACAGTCGTACGTTTGGACCTTCACTTACCTGGCGAACAGATTGTCAATCTACGTGACGATATGACACCACAGGAAGTTCGTGCAGCGCGTGACGCGGCAGAATCCGGCACCAAGCTTCTTGCCTTTTTCCGCCTTTACAGCGAAAATCGTGCAACAGAAGAGTATCTTTACTCAGAGATCCCATGCCACTACACCTGGGACAACAGAAATCGCCGTTGGAATCCTCGCACCAACCCTCCCGTCCAAAATGTTGTTACGCGTATATTCCATGCTTCCCTCTCGAATATGGAATTATATTGCCTTCGCCTCCTTCTGCTGTCTGTCCGTGCTCCCACTGGTTTTGTTTCTCTGAGGCAGTATGAGGGAACAACATATGCGACGTTCCAGGAAGCTGCTGTTGCCCGTGGCCTTCTGGAGTCCGACAAGGAATGGGATCGCTGTATGGCTGAGGTTGTCCAGGTTGCCCCATCAGCTGCAGCAATTAGACAGCTTTTTGTCTATATTCTGACGAACTGCTCTCCTGCTGACCCAGCATCGCTGTGGACCACCTATCGCGAGCGTATGGCAGACGACTACTTCTTTGAGATGCGCAGGACGCTCTCTATTCCCAATGAAGCCGAATTGTCTGAGCAACAACTCGAACAGATCTACCAGCGCACCCTTGGTGACATTGAGACCCGGTTGCAGGTCACCGGTCATCATCTCTCCGAGTTTCCGTCGTTACCGCAGACCTTTGTGACCGAGCTGGATCTGCTACCACGCCTTGAAGGTCTGGCACTCCTTGAAGGTCGTGAATATGAGGTGAATGAGCAGAATCGCATCCTGCAAACGCTGCTACCTACTCTCAACGACGAACAGCGAGCTGCATATGATGCTATCACCAATGCAATGGATGTTTTCGCTCCACACTACTTCTCTCGCGTTTTCTTTGTGAATGGAGCCGGTGGTACTGGCAAATCGCAGTTGTTTAAAACGCTGTTGAGCTGTGTCCGATCGCGTGGTGAAATAGCACTGCCTGTTGCTACATCGGGTATTGCTGCAATTCTGCTTCCTGGTGGCCGTACCGCGCACAGTCGTTTTAAGATTCCTATAAACGCTGATGCTGATACGACATGTAACCTTCGTCTTGGTGGGCCACATGCATATCTGGTACAACAAGCCTCTCTCATTATTTGGGATGAGGCTGTTATGTGCAGTAAGCACAATTTTGAGGCTGTCGACCGGTCATTGCGTGACATCATGGGCGCCATTGATCCAGTATATGGACAGATTCCTTTTGGTGGCATGGTCGTGGTGTTTGGTGGCGATTTCCGTCAAGTGCTTCCTGTTGTCAAGAGGGGTACACGTTCAGAGATAGTAGGCGAGACCATCCGTTCAGCTACCTTTTGGGAGAATCATGTCCAGGTCTTGCACCTCACTGTCAATATGCGCGTGCGTCAGGCTGGCCCTGATGCCGCTGCATTTGCTGATACCCTCCTTGCAATCGGTGATGGGCAGCCACCTTATACTGAAGCTGTTCAGATTCCTGCAGAATGGCGTATGGATGCAAGTGACACTATGTCACTTATTGATGTCGTGTATCCATCCATTCGAGCTTTTGATCCGCAACCAGAGCACTACCATGGCCGCGCTATTTTAGCCGCTAAAAACGTTGACGTTGACGACATTAATGTAACAGCGTACACGCTTTTCCCTGGCGAAGGCAGAGAGTATAACTCTACTGATCGAATTGTCGATGCGGATGACCCTGACTATGCTCGAGCCAACTATCCCGTTGAATTCCTCAACAGTTTGAGTGCCAGTGGACTTCCATCCCACATTCTGCAGCTCAAAGTGGGTATGCCATTGGTGCTTTTGCGCAACATCAATCCTGATGCAGGTCTGTGCAACGGCACAAAAGTTTTTGTCACCCGTCTTCTCGACCATTCGATTGCTGTTAAGCGAATCGATCAAGGCCATGCAGGGCAAGTGCATTATCTCCCTCGCATCCATATGTGTACTGCTGAGGGTGATTATCCTTTCATCCTTTCGCGCCGTCAATTCCCTGTCCGCCCGGCCTTCGCAATGACCATTCACAAAGCGCAAGGCCAAACATTAGAATATGTTGGCATTCGCCTTCAAGAACCTGTGTTTGCGCATGGTCAACTGTATGTTGCACTTTCCCGCGCCACCAACCCAAATAACATCCGCATTGCCATCGACCTTCAAAACATTACCGACCTCAATACAGCTTCCACTATCAACATTGTCTACCATGAGGTGCTTCTAAATCCTCCTCCACAACCGCAAACACAACCATCACAACCATCACAACACACACAACCCACTAGCACCGACGAGTAAAGCTTTACGCTGCTCTACCCATCATCACAATATAGATTTCTTTTTTTTCTGTTATTTCCATTATTATTATTATCCATCTATTTCTTTCTATTCCACTGTCAAGCATCATCTGTCGCCCTGTTTTTTGATTCTAAAATACAATATAATTAGGTCGGGGATCGGGTTTAGAGGGGGTGTTGGGGGGACGCAAATATGATCATCAATGTCATATTAGCAAAAGCATCTCCAGACCGTAACAATGAATTGGGTTTCGGTCTTTGCTTTAGTAAGTAGAGCGAGCTTGATTGAGCGTGTAACCATCGCATCTTTCATAATGTCCAAAGTTTTCCATCTCAACAAAATGTCCAAGACCCATTTCAAGAGCAAGAGAATTCCACCTTTGAAAATTCTAACGTGTAAATTTTGCGAAGAAACTGAACACGATCTGTTCAGTTGCGAGGTGTACATCGAATTGCACGACCACCTCATTATTTGCGAGGATTGCCGATGTGTTGGGCATGAATCATCTGAGAGTACGGAATGCATTAACTCGGGTAATTAGCGTTGACACGGTAAAATCATACAAATATTCTTACTGTGTATGAAGTATTAACTTTGGGCAATTTTTAAAGCAGTGACGGCATCCTTTTTTTAACCAAACAATAAAAACAATTTCCACAACTGTTTTCGACATCACTTTTAAGCAGAATACTATGAGAACATATTTTCAGCATTGTTTGAAGAACACTTGGGGGGCGGTAGGGGGGCTTTGCCCCCCACCCGGGGTCTGGGGCAGAGCCCCAGTAAACTGGTCCCTGGAGGACAGATGCTGACACGCAGCGAAGCGGAGGGGCTCACATCATCCGGAAGCGAAGCGGAGGGACCAGTTTATACCTTTGAATATACTCTCTATATCTTCAATAATTAGTTGAAAGTAATCATATCTTATCTGGCGAACTGTCTCCCAAGTTAGTTTAGTCTTATTAATAATATTAGTAGCACTAGAATTAATTAACAATTCTAAACCAATTTGTAAGACAACATATGGAGGTACATTCTGGTGTTGAAAAAAGGAATGAGTCCGAACAGTCCACTCCAAATTACAGCTAGTACATCGGGAAGTGCCATTTGCTCCTCTAGACCAAGAAAGAGGCATATCTCGGTCATAGTTAAGGCACTTCATACTACGGTAAAAAATGCCTTCTTCATATAGATACTGAATACAGGCCTCAGTACTTAAGAAGTAAGGCTCAGTAGGTGTAGGGATGTTGTTGTAGATTGGCATACTATTATAAACTAGTTAGTACCTTTACTTTTATACTTAACTCTCCTTTAAAGGAATACCTTGTAATAGTTTGTTTTATGTATAGAGATATAGTTGTATATGTGTATAAGTGTTTGAATAAAGGTATTTAGATATAGGTAGGAGAAAGAGTAGATGTAGTAGATGTAAATAGTGTAAAGGGTCTAGTTTATTTTTTTCTCGTGGGAAAACTAGGAAGACCAAAGAAAAAAAAGAATTCTCAAAAAGATATTGTATTTATACCTTATAAATGTATGTTACATAATTCAAATTCAGCTCCTATTTATTCCGTAAATAAAAGTTACAATCTAAATTAGGGTATATTAAAGTATTTTTATCACTGAAGTCTTATCTATCAACTACTGATATTTTCTATCATTAAGTACTCATATCTTATCAGATACTCATTCGTTTCAAATAAAACAAATAGTTTTAAGTTTACTCTACATTATACTACTACAGATGCTCTTTAAATATCTAAAAAGTATAATACTATAAATGTATAAGCAATGGGATCATCTATAGACTTACTATATAAAAATATATGCTTTTATACTTATTGGAACGAGGAAAAAAAGCTGCATCTGATGGTATATTATTTATATGAAAATAATCAGAATTGGTTGGATAACAGCAAAAACCATTTTTTCAAAAACATTTATACTAAAGTTTGGCAAAAGGGGGATTTAAACTCGCGCCTTCTACCAAAGGTAGGACATAAGCCTAGTGCGTTAATGTGCTCTTAGGGCCGCTGAAAATTCGCGTCGAGAAATTTCGGGTAAATAGTTTACCCAACTGAAAACGCGAATATTTTCTAATCAGCTTCGGGACAATGTTCATCCGTACATATGCATATCAACAAGCATCATTTTTTTCGTAGTATCAGTATATGCCATTGTTTATGAATATATGAAAACTAATAAAAAAATAAATAAAGCAGCTAGTAGCTATATTATATCATTTGCACCAATGTATACTAACAGCTATAACTATTACTTTATGACTGTCAGTTCATATCTAGCTTTTAGATCGATATGTGATCATACACAGCATGCTACGGAATATGGAAACATAAAAATGATTCCCACTATCTGCAAATAATATGCACTCACCTTACCGTTATTATTAAGGTTGCATGAAGTTGATGATCGGATAATATATTATAGTTTGAAAAATGATGAAGAAATGGTGGAATAAACATTAAAGAAATTTGATAAAACAAGAAGGGAGAAAAAAAAGTAAAGAGAGATCTAATGGAAAAAAAACTAAAGAGAAAAAGATAGAGAGAGAAGGTATAGAAACCAAATAACAATGGTTTGTATAAATAAGTACGTAATGGATCAATACATGTAACTCGTAACTTACAAAAGCTTATACATGGCGTGTGTATTGATCTGTTTCAGAATATGTCATTAGAATCGTGTATCTGCGACGTTCTCTAATAACACGCATCAGATAGGTGTCGACGGTGGTGTTTGTTTCAGCTACTTCAAATTGTTCATTCAGATTCGCAGGAATGAGATAGTGATACATATTTGTTTCGTCTTCATACTCGTCGTCTAACTGCTGCATGCGGAGGGCCAGCTCACGACGCTGCTGTTGGTTTCTCTGCATCTGTAGCTCTCGTCGTAAAAGATCGGCTTCTCTATCGACAATAATACTGCTGGCATTCTCGTTATTTGAAGTTGTTGTTGGCGATACAGGGTCGTCGTCTTCATGTTGATCGTGAAAACTGTCCACATCGTCGACGCTGGCATTATCGCTTATTTCGATTATGCTCGATGTTGTAGTAGTAGATATAGTGGGAGTAATAGCAGAGGTGGCAGTTGTAGTGGCGAAAGTGATGGAAGCGGGAGCAGGAACGTGTCCGCTCAGCAATCGCATATTGGAAAAAACATTTTCATACCACTGTTTATATGAAAAATACTTCAGTATACCTAGTGTTCATTAAGTGACTTTAGCTCTATATTGCAGACTGGTTCTTAACTTACTGGTCTGATGCGAATGAATGGCTGGGTCGATTGTCGATGAACAAGAACACCGGAAGCTAGTATTTCACCATGACTAGAGCGTTTTACAAGATGCTTGCAAATGAGGAATCGGCTAGTAAGATAGGCTTTGCAGCAAAACCCTTATGTCCACCCCATTTTAACAGAGGGGAGTCCCCCCCAAAACCAAAAATTTTAAACTCCAATTTCAGAGTCACGGCGTGTGGTGCGTCAGTGCTGTGAGCAGCGCCATTTATTCACAAACCGCAAAAAAAAAAAGAAGTACTGGTCATTAACAATCAATACACAATCACTAAGAAAAGACATACACGGTCATTGAAGATAAGTGCTTGGAGCCAAGTTAGAAATGCCATTGAATAGAATGGAGAACAATTTGACAGCAGACACTTAAAAAAAAAAACAAAGACGAAGGGAAAAGACAACAACAAAGTACTGGCGGGACAAAGCACGGATCCTTTTACAAACACACTGACGATTCTACTGCAAAGATCTCAACACAAGATGCAGTAATGGAATGGCCATTTGAAGCAGGGGACGATCCAAGGGTTAAAGAGAAGAAAAGGGGGACAAAAAGTTCAAAGCTATACACTATGAAGGAGCTTTGCTTAACCGCCGGTCTCTTGAGATCTCGCTCTTAGGCATCGTGCATTTTGACGTAGGACATTGGCATTTCGACACACGGTTACAATTCACGATGGAATGAACGATTATTGAACGATGAAGGCCAGCTAATATTGTACCTGTGGTTCTTAACGGGTATGCTTTTTTTTTTTGCTATAGTGCATTCGTGCTATATTCTCAACGATGTGCTAATATATATATAGGCAGGATCAGTCAAAGGTATTATGTTGTTGGCTCTTTCAGCCATGCGTTGTAAAGGAGTTCGTGTTCAAGAAAAGAGGGACGTTTTAGGTAAAGCATAGAAAACATGATATGTAAGCAAGCGTCGAATATGATTGGCAATATACTAATTCCCTCTATTCTCTCTTAAAACCAAAGATACACGTACCTGTCAATACATCATAGGGACCAAAACATGCGAGTACTATATTTATGCTTATGGTATGATGTTAGAAGTGTAGGTAAGTCCCTACCCAAAGTTATGGAAGTAAAGTGCCGTTAATAAATAGTATATATGAATAAAGCTTTTATAGTAAAATGTCTCTTCAATACTACATGGATCCTTCATCTCTAAAACACAGAATAATACATATATGGAGGGGAATCGTGCATCTCTTATTATTGCACCATCTGATGATAAATGTCAATATGAGACAAAACCTTTGTGCGTTCTGTTAAAGTATGATCATGAATAATTGAGAATCGCGGACCTAGCATAGTCTGCAGTAGAAAGATCAAAAAAATAAACAAGCGCCCTCTTCAATACACATACTTTTCTACTACTGCTATTATAAACACGCAATGTCCAACAACAACAGCAACACGCCTATTATTCTCGACCTCGAAAACGAGAGTGTTCCAGAGTGGCTACTGATTGCAACCTACAGAGCAACGATCGAGTGCGCACCTCAAGTGTCTGGTCATTGCTGGGTGAAAAAAGATCACCGAAATGGCAAAGGAATTCCGATCTGTGAAAGCACTGGCAATGAGATCCAACAAGCGAATGACGCGACGATTTCGGGAGAAGTTGTTGAGGAAAACGAAGTAGAAGAAAGTAGAGGTATAATAAATCAACAATGAATACAAATAAGAAAAAATTAATTATGTACCTGCATTAATCTATCTCACAATATAACATCACTTATAGACATCCACCCTGCCAAAAGAGCTCGTAAAAGAAAAGTGAAATGGTCCGAGCGTTATGTTTGCTATCGTTCTGGAGGCGTCCGTGTGCGCAACGATCGTGTCAAAGGTGGTGCATCAAAGTCGATCCGTATCCGCCAAAGATCAAAGAAAATTGGCTGTCCAGCTCGCTTCAGAGCAGTATGCTATGAAGAGGAGCCAGAAAAGGTGTATTTGTTCTTTGCTGGAGGTCATCCAGATCATACTCCTGGTAGCGGCGAAGATGTCAAGTACTTGCCCAATTCACAAGAAATCAAGAGCAAGATCCTTCAAGAATTGCATAAGGGATACAACGTACGTGACGTGCGCTTGTATATGCAGCGTGAATACTGCACTATTGGTGACAACAGACGTGAAGCATACGTGAACACAGTAGATGTATACAACATTTACTACAAGTATCGTCAAGAGAAATCGCAGAGAAATGATGATGACTTCTCGTCTTTGTCTTTGTGGTTGCAACACCTTGAATCGATCGGATATTTTGTGTGGATCAATGAAAAGATCACCATTGATGAAAACCAGCAACAGCAAGCAGTAAAGTGTCTTACCGAAGATAACTTTACGTTCGGTTTCTTTGCTCCTTGGCAGAAGGATTTGCTCTTGAATGCCAAGTTTATTTCTCTTGATGCCACTCACGATGTCAGCCAGTACTCTGATGGTATTTTATATACCATGGTTATTCGCCATCCAGTTGCAGCTCGAGGTATTCCAGTTGCCTACCTCTTTACCGATACCACTGCCTCTGCTCCCCTTGGTGCCTGGTTCCATCAGCTTGCTTCTTTTGGTGTAAACCCACATCGCATCACTATTGACTGCAGCCTGCCTAAGGATAATGCCATCCGCGCTGTCTGGCCCTCATGTACGATCCAGTTTTGCACCTGGCATGTCATGCGCTCATGGATGAAAAACGTCCGTTCCCAGATCAAGTCGTCGCCTGGTAGAAGCAAGGCCATCGCCATGCAGATTGCCCGTGAGAAGCTACGCGCGTTGATGTACGAACGTAATGTTGATACTATTCAACAACTGCTCCACGAGTTCTTGTCTACTTTTGGTAGATACCAAAAGCCCTTTATTACTTACTTTCAGAAATACTGGGTTACTGGTGAACAAGGCTGTGATTGGTGGGCTGCATGCTACCAACCTGCAGTTTACACGAACATGGAGACAAACAACTATGTTGAGTCATGGCACAACCAGCTGAAGACAATTTATCTGAAGCGCAAACGTGTCCATCGTCTTGACTTGTTGATGAGTATCCTGACGTTCGATGTCGAGTTTGACGTCCAGCAAGAAGTCAAACGTCTAACGTACCGAGTTGGGCGTATGAGCAAGGATGAACGGCATCTTCGTGTGCAGGAAATAGAGGCTGAGACCGTTGATGAACAGCTGTTGTCTGCAATGGTGAATGTCAGTATGGAGGACGAGTTCGTTGTCAGCTCCTTTCAGTTGGATGGCATCACCTATATGGTAAGCAGTATATCTCTTCAATCTTCATCCAGTTTATATCCTCGATGATTACCATAACTCTACAGTACCTGTGGTAAGTATTGACTTCTTTTTATTTCCTGCACATTTAGGTGAAGGTCGAGGATGGGCAGCTGGTATCTTGCTCGTGCCCTGCTTTTGAACGTTGGCATCGCCCATGCAAGCATATGTTTCTTGTTGAACGGAAGGAGAAGGATGTAAAAGTTCGCCCATCGTTGGAAGCATAGCATACTGCATTGCAAACTGCTGCCACCAGCACATCAACTGATCCAAGCCTTCAGCAACAGCAAAATGAACAGCAGGATGTCCAATCCGAAATTGAGCAAGAACTATCACCAACAGATAGTTTTGCTAAAGCAATCCAACAGCATACAGCAACAATTACTGCCTTAAAACGCAAGTTTGAAAGCAGAATGGTTCAAGCACGCAACCACGAACAATTGAGCTTGCTGACCGATCGTCTGCAAAAGCTCACCGAAGAAGCACAAGGCATTAGCAATGAGTTGTCTGACATTGCCGTTGTTCCCCAAAACTCCCGTTTCCGCCATCAAAATGCATAACCGAACTTGTTTTTTTTTTGTCCTTTATTGTATCCCTTTCTCTATAGACTTTATACTTATATATTAGCCCTTGTTTTACTTTCTTCCACTCTTGTTTCTTCTTTACAGACATATATGATATGTAATACTCACATGTTTTGGTCCCTATGATGTATTGACAGGTACATGTATCTTTGGTTCTAAGAGAGAATAGAGGGAATTAGTATATTGCCAATCATATTCGACGCTTGCTTACATATCATGTTTTCTATGCTTTACCTAAAACGTCCCTCTTTTCTTGAACACGAACTCCTTTACAACGCATAGCTGAAAGAGCCAACAACATAATACCTTTGACTGATCCTCCTATATATATATTAGCACATCGTTGAGAATATAGCACGAATGCACTATAGCAAAAAAAAAAGCATACCCGTTAAGAACCACAGGTACAATATTAGCTGGCCTTCATCGTTCAATAATCGTTCATTCCATCGTGAATTGTAACCGTATGTCGAAATGCCAATGTCCTACGTCAAAATGCACGATGCCTAAGAGCGAGATCTCAAGAGACCAGTGGTTAAGCAAAGCTCCTTCATAGTGTATAGCTTTGAACTTTTTGTCCCCCTTTTCTTCTCTTTAACCCTTGGATCGTTCCCTGCTTCAAATGGCCATTCCATTACTGCATCTTGTGTTGAGATCTTTGCAGTAGAATCGTCAGTGTGTTTGTAAAAGGATCCGTGCTTTGTCCCGCCAGTACTTTGTTGTTGTCTTTTCCCTTCGTCTTTGTTTTTTTTTCAAGTGTCTGCTGTCAAATTGTTCTCCATTCTATTCAATGGCATTTCTAACTTGGCTCCAAGCACTTATCTTCAATGACCGTGTATGTCTTTTCTTAGTGATTGTGTATTGATTGTTAATGACCAGTACTTCTTTTTTTTTTGCAGTTTGTGAATAAATGGCGCTGCTCACAGCACTGCCGCACCACACGCCGTGACTCTGAAATTGAAGTTTAAAATTTTCGGTTTTGGGGGGGGGGACTCCCCTCTGTTAAAATGGGGTGGACATAAGG